TAGGGATTCCCAGTGTAATGTTAGCATTTACTGGTGATTCGGTATGTATCTCCTGACAAGGGATGACTCTGACATCATAAACACTCTTCATTTTATAAATTTCAAATCTTAGAGAGAAAACCTTTAAATTACCAAACACAGATACATTAACGTAACTATTAGGTACCAAACAGTTACTTTTGCATTTCCGAACAGAGACACCGTTCCATTAACAAATAGCATTACTTTTACATTCACCAAACAGAGATACAATGTACCTTTACATTACCAAACAGAATTACTTTTTCATTTACCTGTTAACGTAACAAATTTCGTTCTAAAATTTGGCATTGTCACGTATTCATTGTACAATTACCTTGTAAGACAATTGACATCTTTGTTAATCTTATGCTATCCAGATTCCTGGCGCCAATCCCCTGTATCACACTAGATACGATACATTCCACATCTTGGATGAAATAATTGACAGGGGCTTCAAGGTAAATATTAACGACTGCAAGGTTAGGCTTAGAAAAAGGTATCTTCTCTCGGCAAATGTTAATGCAGAACGGTGAGATCACCTACAGACTGGCCAGGGCTTCAGTAAGTGCAAATTATAAAAAGAAAAAAAAAGAGTTCGGATTGACTAAAATTTCAATAATCATCTTCTTCAGACCCATATATACTGGAATCAAATACTTTCCATGGATGAGAAGTCCTAAGGAGCTTTATCAAAATAGCGGATTTCATTAACACGGGTTCATCCATTCTACCTAGGAGTGTGTCTGTGTGTATTGGAGGGGGAGGGGGCGATAAAGTTTACTACAGTTTATTTAGGAAAATAACCATTTAGGTATATTTTGTTTATTTTTAGTGGGAAAAAATCGAACTTGGTTGAAAAATTATTTTCATGCGATTGTTGTTTGATGGTATGAAAATGAAGACCCTGACTCATCCCTAAAGTTTCGGAAACCTTCTTCAAAGACGCAGATGTGCTAGTATCGAATATTGGTTACTACCAAACATAAATTAATAAACATAAAGTGAATGAATTAAATACGTATTAAGACCGTTATGACCACTTGCATTATTGTTTTTATGTTAACATTTAGCGTGATTGAAGTATGGTAGTATAGTCATAGTATGGTTTGGACTTAAATGGAATTTTAAACACACACGATAATAAACATACATGGGTGCCACGGTGAAGCAGAATATTTTTGGTCTCGTGTATGTCCACATTAAGGCACTTACGAAATCATCGTTGGTTAAATTAAGTTAAAATTGACAATGAAGGACTTAATGTGCCCAACCGCGTCAAAATATAGAAATACAAAAATAAAACATCTGGAGCGTTCCACCCTCAGCGAAGACTCCACAGATATGAGACAGAAACAACACGAACTACACTTGCCGAAATATCTTACTCTGTACTTGCAGACCCACCGTGCAGTTTGTCAAGTCACAGCCGAAATGGCAAGGAATTTGGCAGACTCTCTGACAGTGCCTTTTAATGTGAGTGACCTTTCAGAACAGCTTCAGATGCGTGTCACAATACTTGACATGGAGTACGGACAGCTGCTCAGAACCCACGGTATCCACTTCGGTATGTAGCATACGGGAGTAGTGTTCATATTCCCTATAAAGTACTACAATTCTAGATCAGATATAGCTTTGATCATTCATTTCCTCAATCCTATTTCCTCCCTCAGTCAACACCGAGAAAAAGTGTATTGATAATAAACAGCCTTTGGTATTCTTAAGCACAGAAGAATTGAATTCGTGTGTAACCTCAACTTCTTAGAGGCTGCTTGACGTCGTAGGTTGCTAGTCCATGCCTTTAAACAATCATTGGACTAATAAAGACACGTGCAGATAAATCATGAACTAATTCTTGAAAGTGAACTCTACAGTGGCGAGTTTACTGGTATGTTTTGTATTGATCTTTTAGAATGGTTGCAGGAAGCAGCAGAGAATTTTTCTTCAGAAGTCATCAAATTTCAAACAAGAGCAGATAACATTAACATGAATGAGTATGTTGTTTTTCATATCTGACTTGATTAACGTTGAGGTGAAAAAGTATGTAATGTCGTCTCTCTGATGACTTTACATTTTATATTACAATATCATATTTCTTCTCTCTCCTGTAAACTATGAATACATCAATGTCCATAAATATGACATGTTTTTTTTTCTTTTATAAAGAACAGGAGTTTAGCTTTGGATGTACTAACATATTTACATCGCTTCGTTTCGTTTACTCACATATCATATGTGGCTGACACTGCAAAGCTGTTTTATAAGTGCCGTGTTGTTCTCAAAGCAATCAAAAATATCTTTCCCAGTAGATATTAATAAAACTTGATGAAAACGTTAAGCTTCAGGTTGATACAAAAGATGTTATTTTTTAAAATTGCTGCTCATACATCATGTTGATGTTAGTTCACATCTGTGATGAAAACACATGATTGTATAAATTAAAGTAAAACGTCATTAAGGTGTCGTTTTTATGAACGTATTTATTAAGTATTATTATATGAGAGTTATCAACGATATAATTTGTAATTATCCAGTCCTTTCGCCATTCGTCGGATTAATGACCAGCTGATTTTACTGGAGAGAGCCTTTATTGACCCGGCTGGACTACCCGGACGGCCCCTGGCGAGGTTCGTTTTAAAAAGAATAGCGCATTTGTTGATAGAACGTCGATCATGTATTTCCCCATATCATACAATTTGCCAACCCTGTCGGTGAGTATACAATGTGTTGATATCGACATCCATGTTTTCAGTAGGTATATCCAGATGAGGATTTTTGGTAATCTTGTTGTTGTTACCGAGTATTAAGTGCTATCTTAATTATCGAGAATGCCATTCGAATTGTTTTTCTAACGAATTATAAACTGTCATACACAGGTTAACTTCCATTGATGAAATTTAGGAAATTTAAACGACAAAAGTGAAATTAGAAATAAGAATTGATTCATTTCAAGGGAGATAAGTGTATTACAGTCCAACTGCCATGCAATATGCCGAACATACGATGTATCCATGTTATACCTCGGTTATACATTGCTGTTCATATTTCAGGCATGTGCTATTTTCGCATCTCGATGTTAATTCATACGTTGGAACTACTTTTCCCGGACTAGTGGACTCCCTTTTGAAACTGGCGGATGCTTCAGAAGACGAAACCAAGGCACTATGGGAAGTCATAAAGCAACACTTCTCCGTGTTGGTATTCACTATTCAGTCAGCGCAGACTACGCTTCGGGAAGTGACCACATTTATGCCAGATTTTCAGGAAACTGTGTGACTCAATTGATGAATAAAAACGAATTCATAAGATCAAAAATGAGCACCAAATTCCTGAACATTGATTTTGATTTTATTATATATATATTTATATATTAATGTTGGTTATTCCGAGGTGAGTTTTGGGGTTATATCGTATGACCTAAAAAAGCAGACGACACCAATCGTGATGACATCGTCAACAGAATTGTGCGGCGCAGTATTTGTAATTCTAACTTTTGATCGGTAGAAGTTGCTCGGTAATTAAATTCAAGCACAATCATGTGTACATGCAA